TGTGTGTGTGTGTGTGTGTGTGTGTGCATGTGTGTGTATGTGTGTATATTTGTGTGTGTGAGTGGCATTTTTTAAATTATTCCGGAAAAATTGTACATTTATTTAAATGATTATATTTATTTAGATAATAAGGATATATTCGATGCAAAATGCTGAACAAATAAGCAGTAAAGAAAAAGAAAGTGTGAAAAAGTTGCTGGAATGGCGAGATCGAAATTGGTATGGAATGTCACAGATCCTTCCATATTTATATGTGGGTGGTTTACGTGATGCGAATGACGTAGAACAACTACGAGAGAAAAAAGTTACTATCTTTTTCATTTCTTTTTTTTTCACTTACTGAAATCTATTATGCAATGTTTACATTTTAAGGTGATATAATTTGCAATTTTATATAAGTTATTTTTTGTTATCATATCATATACATTGTTATTATTTACATTATATCAGTTGTGATTTTATATTTTCTTCATTTTTTTTTTGTTAGTAATTAAGTTAAATAAATGATGTTGTCGCTTATATTGCATTGGATGTATTATTAATAGACAAATATGATAGGTTAGTTTTGATCTTTTAGTATTAACCAAAACTTGCATATATATAACATTTAAATTTCTATGCATATAGCAGTAACGAGAATTAAAAATGTTATGTATTTATGATCAGATCGATTATATGATATCAATACATGAATTAAGCGGACATATTGGTGGCACTTTAAAGGATTTAAATATTTTACGCATACATATGGCGGATGTGCCGGAAGCAAATATTAGCGAACACTTTGCGGAAACTACTGCATTTATTCATCATGCTCGCTTATCGAAAAGTAAGGAAATTAAAGTTAAAAATTATATGAGCTAACTCTCCATTGGATATCTTTGCAATATTTAAAACAAGGAAAAAAGTCCTTGTTTTATATTACATGTTTTTTTCATCATTTTTAAATAAATTGCGATTCATTGATATTTTGACGCTTCTTTTTGCTAATGGTTGTTTTCATTTTTGATATTGACTTTTTGATATAATGTTGAATGTGATAGTAAGTTGATTTTCAGAATCAGTACTTGTTCACTGCATTGCTGGAGTAAGCCGTAGTGTGTGTATTGTTGCAGCTTATCTTATTGCTGCTTGCGATATGAGTTATGCTGCTGCTTTGGCATATATCGTCAGTAAACGACCCTGTGCTAATCCAAATTTCGGATTCCGTATGCAACTTGCAAAATACGCAAGAAAAGTTAGTTATTGCTTTAATTTATATTAAAAAATATGTGAGATGTAAATTTGCTTAAATTTATTATTTTAAAATCATTATCAATGAAAATATATTTGTAGATGAGTCCGTCAGAAGAAATAACGATGAGGAGCCAGTTTGGTAGTGAAGCATTTGATGAATTGAAGGCAAGTGATAAAAAAATACTGTTATTGGATTATCCTGAAACTCCAGATGAATTCGTTGTATGCAAGAAATCTCCTTCCTCTACTACCTCTATAAAAGGTATTTGTCCATTTTATTCAAATCTGATAAGTAAAAGGATTTCGCTTAGCATATTCCCATTGAAAGCCAAGCTAACAAGGTATACAACCCAATAAATTAGATTTGGAAAAGATTTTTACTGTGAAAACCATGGGGTGTTGATTTCTCCAACTATGTGTTACAGGTAAAACTCACTTAAAGGGATTTTCAATTTGAAATAAATTGCAGAAGTGTGCATCGAATATATGGAATATCAGAATAATCCAGTGAGCAAGTCAATTTTTAACGACCCTAGTATCAGTTTCATTGATCAGTAGTGCATTGGTTATTTATTATTAGTTTCCTTTATGTTACGTTTATTATTTTACACTTTAAAATATTCCATTAAAAATGTGATATTAGCAGTTTATAGCAGTATGAAGATTGTAATAATTAGGTAGTGTGAAAGCATGATATATATGAAACAGAAGAATTCTCACAACAAATTGAAAAAATAATATTCATTAATAGTATAATGAATAAGATAATTCTCGTGATGGAGGAATTTTTAGAGAAATCAATGCACTATCGTATGGAAATGTTATTTGCTGATGCTGCTAAAAAATCCGTTGTGCTGAGTCAGTGGAAATTACTTATAGCTCATTTGGATGATCTTTATTGCCAGTCCAGTATTTTTAATTGAAACTGGTGCTCTTTTATGTGCATTATAAGTGCTGTTCTTTAAATAAATGTGATATGAAAAAAAAGTTGATTTAATTTCTAGTACTAATTACTACTGATAAGACATTTTTGTAAACTTCTTTCTGTTATACTTCATTTTTAATCATTTTACGGAGATGAAAAAATTAAAAATTTGTATCGGAGATCAGGAATTAAAAAACTGATATATGCAAATGATATTCGGTAACATGCTGAAATTTAGAAATTAAAAGAATTGATCTTAAGAAGCATTGATTATTTGTGGTGTTAAAAAATTATTTCAAGAATGTCATATATTTTTAAAGTAGAGAAATGATTAAAAGGAGTAATTAATGGATTAGTTATTAGCGAAAGCCACAGAATCGATCGCTATTGGAATTCAGATGCGTTGAAATGTTTGTGGTGGCAAGTTTAATATCTTCTAGACTATAAAATCATGTAATGAAAATACACACACTAAATATATCAACCCATTCATCTGGCAACATCATTAATGACTGATGGATGGCATTTTTAGGGAGTGCCAGATTTTACTATTTTGCCCTAAGTAAAATCACTTAGTGACTGGTGCTTATGTCAAGATATTAATTGTTATACAAAGCGGAATGATTGTTTGTGCTCTCTGAGAAATCCGGGATAGCTTTTTTTTTTTGTTATTAACAACGGAGAGTAATAAACAAAGAACTCCGCCTCAATGTTTTGTGCTAGAAATTTGGAATTATTATAATGCAATAATAAAGTTGAATTAATTGAGACGAATAATGAATGCAATACAAATAACATTTACATATCAACTATGTAATAACTAATTATTATCACACAAAATAATTCATCAAATTATTACACAAAATAATTCATCAAAATAGCTGCTTATGTTCAAGAAAATTTGTCACATTATATGACAAAAATAAAAAAGGAAGTCGAATATATTATGCCGTGATGGTATAATCAATAAATTGATATTAATTGATGAATTAAATAAGTTTACACCATCTACCATTTTAATGCTCGCACAATATTACTGGTTGGATAGCGTCTAATGAGCCATTTTCGTGTCTGAAAAATATTATACTATTTTTTAAATTTAAATTAAGCATCAATTCTTATCCCATCAACTGTAACTTATAAGTACGATATTAAATATAATATTAGAAAATATTAAGTATAATCAACTGTAAGTATTAGATAGATATTAAATATAATTTTCAACTTGTATATTTCACTTAATTCATTATAACATAGCCTTTTTAACATATCTTTTGTGTGAATAAATATTTTATCTTTCTGGAACTGATTAACTTTCATTGGATATATTATCCGGATAACTATAACGATGCTATTGTGCTAATCTTTACGGTAACAATTAAATATTAGCTAAATATATCATAAGCAATAGAATCATATTTCTCTAACATTTCTAAATTTCATGCATCATTAGTATTTTTCCCGGAAAACCGTTAATGAATAATTTGGGACAATATTAATAGTATCTCTCTGTTATCTTGATTAATTGCAATTTTTTTTCAAAAAATATCCACTAACTACATGTTTTTTAATATCAATCAATGCGAACTATCTAATATTTCCACTACGTGAAATAGTATAACAAAAGAAGAAAAAATAAAACCAAATGCACATTTACAAATTGGATAAACAAAAAAATTATTTTTTTTTTAAGAAAAAAGGAAAATAAACAAAATAACCTCATTAAAAATTATGAGAACAATACCAACAGGTAAGCAAAATAGCCAAACAAATGCCGGTGGATGCGTGACACGAAGCCAATTTTGCACACCCGGCATATAAATCATGAAATTAAGAATGCAAATTTCAATAAGTAATGCAAGAACTGCTGCAACATTTTGTGTGCCATGCTTAAAGATGGAAATTCGTCGTGTTGTACAGAGCCAAAAATGAAATACCTAAAAAAAAATTATACACATATTCATGTTATTACATTTCATTTAAAATATAACAAATCAGTAAAATGAATAAGCTAAGTAATTAAAAAAAAATAAATGAATAATCAATTTTATTTGAAATTGATTTAATTATTGTTAAAAAATTTTTTCTGTGATTTAATTATTTTCCTTCTAGAAAAAATATCTAAAAATAAATTCCTTCGTTTTTTTTTGCTTCTCATAGTTTTATATATTATTTGCAAATTATTAACAAACCTGTGACATGACTAATGTAATATGCCAAGCAGCTTTCGCTTGGCCATGAATGAGCATTTGCATCTCGGCTGTATAGTGTTTACCGGTACTCGTTGACAAAATTTCCGCATTTGGAGTCCAATGATTAACATTGGAATGAAATAAATCACGTAGGGTTATTTCATGGAACCTAAAAATAAAATTAAATTTAGCAATTAATTTGTCAAAATATTCAAAAATAACTTGTATTTAATATAACTATTAAAAATATATTCATTTATGAATGAAAAGTAATTGTTCACTGTTATATCAATATGCTTGAATAATGTTTTAATTTTACCGAAAAAATATTCCGCTTATTTATTACAAAAAATAGCTTTAAGCTATTTTTGTAATCTGTAGCTTTTTTTTGTCTTAAAAAAGCTAACTAATAAACAACAATGAGCTATAGTTATGATAAATAACTGGAATATTAATAATCTATTTTGTAATAAATAACCATAATTCAAATGCAAAGCAAACATTAAATAATTTTTAAAAGAAGAAGTAAAATAAAAAATAGAAACCAAAAAACGAATGAATATGCAACGAAACATCCAACTGATATAATACCACCAACAAAAACATATGAATAAAGAAGGAGCGCTTTCGAGACTAATCGAGCAGTTGATTTCCTCGGTGGTCTACACATAATATCCTTTTCACCAGCTTCATATGTAAGTGCTATTGATGGTGGTATTTCCGTGATCAAATCTATTGAGAGAACCTAAAATTAAAATTTTCATTAAAAAAAAAAAATTTTAAAAGATGAAGTGCAAAAATTTCATTCGTAATAAAATGATATGAAAATAAGCTTGAAAAATAAAGGAAAAAATATTAACTTAAAAAAATTAATTTTCTTGCAATATAAAATATAATTTTTTTGAAGCAAAAAGAATAAATAAATTAAATCAGTCATCGCGTTTTTTCTTTGTTTCGCATCAACTATTATTGATAGCGTACCAAAAATAATATGATAACTGATCTTATTATTAATAATAATTTTTGCTATTAATAATGGATAATTTATTAATGATCTTTCTTATTAAAAAAATTTCTTATTTTGATAATCTTATTGTTGCTAAAATGCTTAGCAATTAGCATATTAATATATTTCTTTAAATATTTTCTAATCACTAATTAAAAATATAAATTGTATGCATTAAATGTTATTGATAACTTTTTAATAATCTTTCGTGTTAAAAAAAACATAATCTTTATTATTTAAACGTAAAAAAATGAAAATTGGAAATAATGATATGAGCAGTAATTAATCTACTGAGCAGTTTTTCACTATCTGAATTATGATTCGATTAGAAGATCACTTATCATTTATTAAATAAAAAATTAGAATATTGAACCTGTAAACTACTAAGACCAATTGGAAAACCTATAGCAAACATTAACATAACAGCACATAATTCCGGCACCATATGTGCTAATGTATATGCTATTGTTTTCTTCAAATTTGCATACAGTAATCGACCTTCCTTGATGCTTTTAGCAATATGCATTACGTCACTTTCCGTATATACCATATCTGCTGCTTCTTTTGCAAATGCACTTCCGGAAATGACATTTATATTTCATCCATTATTTATTTTATCTTAAACAGTAAGTTTTCCGAATTACAAAAAAAAAACTATTAATTAATGCTATTACAATACTTTTTGACTAATAATGCGCTTTCTGTTAATGAATAAATTCTGTTATCACTAAATTAAATAATAGAATGTATTCAGTGATGAATTAATATTTGCATAATGAATGATAAGCCACATTAGCGAAAAATAACTGATAGCATTACAAAATTTATCACTGCAAAAATAATTAATATATGAAAATGGAAGTAGAAATTAATTAATAAATAATATTTACCAACAGCTTCCATAGCTATACCAACATTAGCTTCCTTTAATGCAGGCGCATCTAAGACACCATCACCCGTAACTGCCACAACTTCACCTCGACGACGACATTCCTATATAAATATTACAAATAATATAATTAATAAAGCTTACAAATAGCAATAAATTCATATTATTTTAAGTAATAACATATGGATAAAAGAGATATGGAAATTTTATCAAAACTAATTAATATTAAAATGAATTATTCCAGTTAAAATTTCCATTTAATTAAATGTAAAAATTCGTATTGATATTATGTCCTATAATAAATTAATGAAAATCGGTGAATATATTTGATGAATGACTGGCCAAAAAAATCTTGCACTTATTATCATACTATTAATAGAGCATTATTATTTTATATTATGTTGCAATTACCATTTATCTTGCATCGTATCAATGTATTTCGAATATACATTTTTCTCATTATATTATTTTATATTATATAAATGATATACCTTAACGATAAATAATTTATGAGAGGGTGTAGCACGCGCAAATACAACAAATTCCTGTTTCAATATATCATCCCATAATTGATCGCTTAATTTATCAATCATTTCACAGTGAATTACTGATAACACACTTGGTTTCTTCTCCATTTCCGTATTCTAAATTAAGCATTACAATATATTATATTGTATTGCAATCACGAATTATATGTGTTACAATTATAATTAACTTTAATTTCATTGAATCTAAATTTCATATGAATGTGATACCTATTATAATAGATATAACATTAAAGTTAGTTAAATTTTATCATTTTTTTTCAGTTAAAATTATAATCTTAATGTTAATGATTCATTTTATGATATTTTAATTGGAATAAATTTTTTAATTAACTTTAATATATTATATCACTTAGGAACTTACATATTTTTTTTTTTGTTTTTCCTTCTATTAATCATATCATTGTTACAAAATAAAATACAGAAGAAGGAAGAATAGAAATATTGAGAATGGGCTATTTAAAGTAAGCTAAAACTAGCCAATGAAACAATTGATGTTCGCGGAACATCTAAACCAAAATGACTAGCAACTGCAGCAGCTGTAGACGGATGATCACCGGTAACCATAAAGCATTTTACACCTTAACAACAATTATTCTTTAAAACAAATTTAATTCCAATAAATGAAATTTATTTTTTGAAAAAAATTCAAATACTACTCTTTTCATTTACTAAATTTTTAATCTATCATCAAAAAAAAAAAAATTTCTACATTTAGATTCATTATTGAAGTAACGATTGTTGATTCAATAATGAATCTAAATGTAGAGACTTTTTATAAATATAATTTATTATGGTGGGCATAGTTTTTTCAAAGATAGCATTTTTTAATTGGTTAAAAAAATATAGAAGGAAAAAAAATTTTTTTTAGTTACAATTATTTAATATTTATGAAGAAAAAAAAAACTATCAAACCAGCATTTTTCATTGTTTGCAGTGATTTTAATGCTGTACTCCGTGGTGGATCATACATAGCTGCCATAGCAAGAAAGCATAAATTTAAACGATTTAAACCATCCCATGAACCGGGTGATTCAATCAGATTTAATTCTTCAAGTTCAGCTATTGCAAATGCTATACAACTCTTACCCTCATTACCGTATTTCGTATAAGCTTGCTGAAATTCTGCTTCCTAGCAATTTAATTTAAAAAAAATTTACGAAAAAAAAAATCGTTTTTTCTCCTAACTTATAGATTTTTTTAAAAATATACAAAATTGGTATTATTGCTAGTTCGTAAACTTATTGATATCGTTTGCTAAAAGTTAATAATAAAATATAATTTATATTTGATATTCCTAATTTAATACATCAGATGTGGTCATAATTTAATATTCAATTAATTCATTTAAAAATTGAATTAAATTCCAAATTTTGTCTTGATTATGTTTAATATCGGGAAAAAAAAAGAAATATCATTGCAAATATTAATATGATACTGTAAATTTAAAAAATTACAGAGAATTGAGCAATGAAATCATCCGATATTTCAGTATAACCTTCTTCGGTAGCTAACAATTTACAATGAGCAAATAATTCTTCGGGTGCTCCTTTAACAAGAACATATACCCTATAATTATTATAAATTAAGTACTAGTTTGTTAATATTTAAACTCAATGGTGAAAAATTTTAAATTCAACAAGTTGTTAATAATATTCAAATTTCAAATTCAACCAGCAATTACATACAAATTAAAATTAAATTTCCTCTTTTAACTCCAATTTGCATAACATTTAAGACAGATTTTGCCTTATATTAAAAAACGCAATTATAAATTTATT